TGAACATGGACAAAACAAAGATTATGTTTAATGTCCATGTCACACCTATGCCGGTAGTTGTTGGGAGCACTATTCTCGAAGTTGTTGACGAGTACGTTTAACTGGGACAAATAGTCCGACTAGGCAAGTCCAGCTTCGATCGAGAGGTCAATCGACGGATTCAACTCGGCTGGGCAGCGTTCGGAAAATTACGACATATCTTCTCGTCAGGTATATCTCAATCTCTGAAAACTAGATTGTACAACCAGTGCGTGTTGCCAGTGATGACTTACGGATCTGAGACGTGGTCCTTCACTGCTGGCCGTATGAGGACGTTCAAGGTCGCTCAGCGAGCTATGGAGAGGGCTATGCTCGGAGTTTCTCTGCGTGATAGACTCAGAAATGAGGATATCCGCAGTAAAACCAGAGTGACCGACATAGCCCAACGAATTAGTAAGCTGAAGTGGCAATGGCCCACCATATAGCTCGAAGAACCGATAACCGATGGGGAAGAAAGATTCTCAAGTGGCAGCCTCGTACCGGTAGGCGTAGTGTGGGGCGACCCCCCACTAGATGGAGTGACGACCTGGTAAGATATGCAGGAAGTCGATGGATGAAGGTAGCTCAGGACCGTGCTTTGTGGCATTACTTGGGGGAGGCCTATGTTCAGCAGTGGACTTGTGAAGGGCTGTAATGATGATGATGATGAGGTATTATAGGTAAGACACATCAATTTATTTTATTGAGCGGATGATTGCAAAGTAACTCTTAATATCCTTACCTATATTTACCTTTAATTATGAATCAAAATCTAGATAAGTTGTCACCCCTGAGATTTGAATTGATTTATGAAGGTTTTTTATACGTGTTTTTTATACGACTCGGCCGGGGATGGACCACAGAATACCAGCGTAAAATAGCAGCTTAATACTGCTGTGTTTCGTATGCTCATGATACATGATGTAGAGATCCGGAGGCCCCTTTTATTGGAAACGAAGTATTCCATCATAGTCCTCAGGGGTGACCACTGACAACGCACCTACGTTTTGAATCTTAATCGAGTATAAATATGTCTATGGGCAACAGCATCCATTTACCATCAGGTGGACTGTGTCTTTGTTTGTCACCCTTATTCTTTAAAAAGGGCATTCCTTGTTTGAAGTAAAAAGTGTTTTCGGTTCTCTACACTCATCATACGAAACACAGCAGCATTAAGCTGCTACTTTACGCTGGTATTCTGTGAGAGCGTGGTCCTTTCCCAGTCTATCTCGGTAAACCATCGCGTTATGGAGATAAGCCAAAAAACCTGATGGCAGTAGCTAGTATTAGAAAATAGAAGGCGGTGTAACTATTTCTTTACACCCGGTGTCATATACGTTTATAGTACTGAAGGTATTTTACACCCGGCGTGAAGAGACGGTGACGTGTCAGCGACAGAAAACAGCGGCGACAGCGTGGGGTCTGTCAACAGCGTGACAAAAGCAGCGCAGCGAACTAATAATAACCCGATCAGAAATAAGAGAAGTTCTCTGCTTAACTGTGACACGTATTCTCCGCAGTAACTTTTGTATTTTACCATAACCAGATGATACCATGTTCGATGTGAAAAATCAGAAAAAGCGATTTTTCAGATTTTTTTTAAATAGAATTGAGAGCTGAAGCCGAACTGAGGCATGTTTTTTTTTAAATAGAATTGATTTGACTAACGAAATTATACTCAAAATAATTGTAAGTCGCCAGTACATAAATATCTGAAACCGACTTCAAACGAAGTCTAAGATGGAATACCTTACAGCCTGTAATTTTACTGACTACATATAACCTTCAGACCAGAACCCTGCAGTGAAAGCACTATTGTTCGGCAGATGTATTAAGAGGGTTGTAACTACACAGACGAACTCCTAGACTAAATTATAATCTGTACTTGTAATATGTAAGTAATCTAAAACTAAATGATTATATTGGAAATGTTTAACCTTTACTTTTTACCTAATTCCGTCAAAACTTTAGAAGTTTTGATCCCATGTCTCGTTAATACCTACAGACCGTGACCCTTTTACACGTGATGGAGCCACGCTGCAGATATGTTATGTTTGTAGCAAGAATGGATCCGTTCGATTGGAGTAGGCCCACGCTCTCACAGAATATAAACATAAAAAAGTAAAGTTACAGCCTATATACGGAGCAGTAGAACTGCTAGGTACAGGCCTCCCCTCATTTCTGAGAGGGTTTTAGGGCAAGGAAGTGTTCGCCGCGCTGCCCCAATGCGTGTTGGCGAAATTCACATGTCTTCGAAATATTTTTTTCTGATGTCTGATTCTTCAGATATGTAGGTTTCCTCACGATTTTTCCTTCACCGATGAGCACGTGGTAAATCAGCATTTAAAATTGCTATTAACAATTTCATTGGTGCCTGCGGGGATCGAACCCGGGTTACTCGCGTTCTGTTATATTTACAGCGATCGTTAACCATCTAAGATAACACGGCTCTAAACATAAAATAGCAGTTTAATGCCTCGAACAGAGGCATTCAATCGTAGTCCACAGGAGTGACATAGTAAATGTGCACTTTGATTCTTAATCACAAACAGATGAAAATGTCAATACGCCACAGTATCTACTTACCATCAGCAGACTGTGTGGTCGTTTCGTACCCACTATTTTTTAAACCGACGGAAATAAATTATAAGAGTTGTTTTACGCATAAATCTAAGAAATAAAAAAAAACATTTGAACAGTTTATTACCGTTTCGTAAATTTTCTATAATGCGTATTAAAATAGAAAGAATTTTGACATTTGCAATTCCCAATAGACAACACTAGCTAGCGATATTGCAAAACAATAATACAGTAAACACGGAAGCGCCTCAAAACAATTAAACCACCCAAGTCGTTGATTTGTGTACTCATGTTAGTTTGTTAATAACGTGTCAGAACAACCAAAAACTAAGTGCCGTTTTTACTCACTTGACACTGGCAGAATTGTATCACGAAAAGTCATAATTTTTCTTCGCTTTCGAATTTTACGCCTATCTCACTATCATACCATTATACATAGTTATACCATTATCTATCGGAAACCAAAAAATCTCGCATATTACGACATCCATGAGGCAACATGGATTAGATTATCTTATCCCACTACTACCACGCGCTAAAATAATTACAAAATACAAAACAGCATATTTAATTATAATAAATGTTTCATTTAGCCATCTCAGGGGTCTTCGTTTAGCGCCGAGTCGGCATCAGAGGCGGTTGAACTGTGTGAATAGTGCAGAAACAGAAACCGAAACTTTTTTTCAATATAGATTATTGAAAGTCACTCCTATGTTTAATTTACCATTGATTCGAAAATACCTCTGCCCTGAGAAGAACCGGCAAAAAGCCCAGCGGCACATTTTTTGGAAAAAAGAACGGTTTATAATAATTTTATACGTTACACAATAATTAACAACACACAACAAAATGAAAATAGCTTGGTAGTGTTCACCGAAATCGCAATCGCAGATAAGTTATAGAATCTAACTAACGCAGTGTTATTTTGTAACATTAATTGTGACAAAATAACACTGCGATTTTTATCAATAAAATATAAATTCTTTCGGATGACTTAATGCAGTCATGGCAAAGGACTGAGGAATAAAATGGAATTCCGTAAAAGAGTCTCTGGTTCTCTACACTCATCATACGAAACAGCAGCATTAAGTTGCCATTTTGCGGTGGTATTCGTGAGAGCGTGGTATTACACCGGTCGTGCTACCAATCAATCAATCAATCAATCTCTTTATTCATTAACAACAAATTGTGAACGAATATTACAGCAATGTTCTTATTATATTGCTAAGCCTAAATTTAGTTAAACAATATTAATTATTTAAGTAACCAAACAATATATAAATTATCTAATAAATACATTGTGCCTTTCTTGTTTGTTTAACTATTGCTATTAATATTCATTATAAATGTTCAATAATATATTCTTTACCACGCCACTAAACAAAAAACTAGGAAATATCAACCTACTCCATAATTTAAAAATAAAATCAAATAAAAAAATGAATAAAAATAAAATTTAAAATAAATTAACTATTAAATTTCTTATTATTTAAATAAATATTTTAACTACTCTACAGTTAAAATTCGTCCATATTATAAATACATTTTCTGTAAGCAGTGCCTTCAACTCTGTTTTAAAAACACTTAACTTTTTTATATCTTTTAGTTTTTAGCTACAACTGTAATATAGCTGCAGCGTGTCTTTACCACGTATAAAATAATACATAACTAACCCGATAACGACCAGATCTAAGGCTGTATCTTACATACCTAGACAAACAAAGCTCAGCAAAGCCCAGTATTCGATGATACCGACGCTTTAAGTGTTTTAAATTGCACGCTTTTTCGCTTACGCTGACTAACTTTAATTAATTGCTTTTATCATTTCTTTTCGCGTACAGTTGTTTCAGAACCGATAGTCCGTTGGCACACCCTTAATTTTGTAAATGTACAATATCATTCAAACGATTAATCCAGAGCTTTCGTTTCTTTCATCTTTATCTTATAAATTAAAGTTAAAGCAAGCTGTAATACATAACCGTCCCTCAACGTTTTCGTTACGTTACGTTGGCTACTTCCCAAGGATATTTGTAACTAAAATTAAAAAAAGGAACTAAAGTAAAGGCCTAACAATCAAAACAATTACCCCCTTACCTTACCCCCTAATTAGTCCATACTCCGTAAACGACTTCAGAACTGCAAATGTCTGTATCTAGTTAATCATACCTCACATGTAATCCCCAAGAGGATAGGTAGAGTCCAAAGAGCAGCGAGTTACTTGGACCACGTTTAGCCAAACAAAAGCTGGGTTTAGATTAAAAATTGGGAAAGAAGTGATGCCTAGTCCATCGCCTACATAAAAACAATCGCATATTCCATGTCACCTTTTATAACATTCAAAGCAAGTAACAGTTAGCCCATCTCTTCAATTATTAGTATTAACTTACAGAAATAAATACGCGTTACTTACCGTTAATACTGCTATTTCTTATCGTGTCATCTCTATCGCCTAAAATGGCACTAACACTGAACTTGAGTGGCGGCTTCTTCTGTTCATTATACTCCTCGCAACTTCTAACTATGTCTTCCGTACTATAAGGCTTTCCATCTTTACAACCATCGGCTTCATCGCCCGAGTTCTCCTGGTAGTTGTGTAGATTGAAACGCTTTTCCAATTCTTCTAAGCGTCGTATACCCGATTTTTTACAGGTGTACGGAGGACAATCAAACGCTCCGCAGCTTTGACAGCGTCGGGTAAGGGTCGGTATGTTTAAAACTTCCTTTTCCGTATTCCTCACATCTTCAGTTCTCGCATAGTAGTCGTTATTGTAATATACAGTTTCGTTTTTTAGATTAAATGCTTCTTCTTCGTCTCTGCTCTTGGAATCTTCGTCATTCTCAATTTTGGATTCGTCGATTGATTCACGACGTCTGCTCTCGTGTTCTTCTGTGATCTTTGCCTCGTCCATTTCTGGAGAATTCTCTCTGGAACGTTCGTATTCTTGTCTTTGCAGAACGTAGTTCTCTAGCTGGTGGTTAATGTATTGGTTGTGAAAATTAGCGGCCTTCTGTTGATGCAAAATGTTATCAACTAAGAAGGGAGATGACATATTAAACGGGTTTGCGCTGGTTTTGTTATAGCACAAATTCTGAATTGTCTTCAGCATAATGTTGTGATCGAGGGTTTTTTGAGTCACAAACGGGTTCAGTTTTAACGGTCCATGTTTCAAATTGTCCGTTGGGTACATCATACGCCGGTAGCTAATAAATTAGCTTATAAATAACGCTATTTTTACGTTAATGCTATTAAAAACATATCTATTATGTCACTTCACTAAATCGGAAATGTCTATTTTAAATTTTGTATCGTTACGGTTTTAGAATGTAAAATAAAAATATAAAATAAAAACTATGAAATTCACAAGTTAGTGTATAAGTTCATAGATTATTTTGCTATCGGGATACAGAATATAACTAGCACATGCGCTATGGTTAAATGCCGAACGTCGACTGACTTTAAGGGAGTGGTTCTTCAGAAATGGGCGGGTTTCTGGACGCACGGGGTGGCTTTTTAGCCGCGCTTTTGTACAGAATCGACCAGCATAACTTGATCTATTCCACCTTTCTCAAACAACGTTATAGAGTTGCTTTCGCAGTGTTTTAGTGTCGCGTTACCCGGGACGTTTATTATCTACCAAAGTTTTAACGTATACTCATTGATAATCAAGTTTCACTCGTATTACGTTAGAATAAAGATACTTTTGCATATTGCAAAGTTTGTTGATAAATTTGTAAGGCCCGTATTAGTAGATTACGGAGTTTATACGTGAGCCTTTATTCATAGGTCAAGAGACAAAAGGGTTTTCGGTCGTTAACAGTTTTTTTTTTTCATTTCTGTTCTTGATACATTTTTTATTTTATTCGTCTAGTCAGTGCCTGGGGTTTGCCTGCGGTTGATCCTAAAAAACGAATAGTGACAACAAAATATAACTTACTGGTGTTACTCCATCTGGGTAGACGGTGTGACCATCCTCAGCGGTGTAAGAATATCCACTATTATTATCCATACATTATTTAATAACATAACCCTTTAAATACAATTTTAGATAAACCTGTTTTTGAACTTTGCGGACAGTTGTAAACGCGTATAACTTCTCGTAAGCGTAAATCATACTTAGTCTCAAGAATGAATTACTGACTCTGTAGAGTCGTGTATCTGGTTCTACTAGTACGCATTGGAACGTACTATAGCTTGTGTGTTCCTCATATTGACACAGTATATATCACTTAATTTTTTAAACTACTTATATCATTGTTGTATTTTATACACCCATAAACTTTTTCGAAAATGTGTTGAGAGACCAAAGTTTTAATATATTAATTTTCTTAAATTTTTGTCTCAGACTTCAACTTTTAAAATATCATAGATTGCACTTATGACCCTCTTCTGCAAAAATAACAAAATGCGGTTATCAAACCATCTGCAATCACTATATTATCCCCCCTAGAGTAAAGGGGGGTGTCCACTGGAAAAACCAAAAAAAAAATTAAAAGTTCGCGATATAAGAAACCCCTAAATGTAGGTCAATTAATTTTCGTGGGTTCATCTGCATTCAAAAACACAACTTTTATTCGATATACATATATATCAAGGATACTTAATGAAAGCCATTTAAGCTTTACCACTGTAGTGTCCTGGGAAAAACCAGCAAGAACCCCAGTGGGACTTTTATTTAAATATTAATTTACAATACAAAATTTTATACATATACATACATAAACACTCACGCTTGTCAACCAGATGGGTAGGCAGAGACTACAGACTTCCATTTGGCACGATCCTGACACACCTCTCTCGCCTCCTTGACATCCATATACTTACGCATACAAGCTCGTCGGTTAAGGGTACTCCTAATTTGGCCCATTTTCAATAAATCGCCAATTTGGTGGATAAATTTTCGCCTAGAACGTCCCTTTCCGACTCTGCTGTTCACTTCTGCAACATAAATTTGCTTTGTCACTCTTTCCTCATTCATTCTTTCCACATGACCAAACCACCGAAGCATTCCTTTCTTAATCCTGGTCACAACATCATCTTGCAAACCACACTCTTCTCTTATCACACAATTTCTCACCCTGTCACTCAGATTCAGACCTAACATACTCCTTAGCGACCACATTTCTACCGCATTTATTCTACTCTCGTGCTTCTTCTGCCACACCTAACATTCACTACCATACGTTAAAGTAGGGACTAACACAGCATTATTAAACAGTATAATTGTATAAAATTGTAATTGTATAAAATTATACAACATATTATAAGAGCCGTAATAACTCAGATGGTTAGCGCTCGTTGTAAATTCCACACTACGCAAGCAACCCGGGTTCGATCCCTGCCGGCACCAATGAAATTGTTAAATGCAATTTTAAGTGCTGATTTATCACGTGCTCGGTGGTGAAGGAAAACATCGTGAGGAAACCTGCATGTCGGAGAAATAAGAAAAAAATATTTCGAAGACATGTGAAGTTCGCCGAAACGCATTGGGGCAGCGCAGCGGACACTTCCTTACCCTAAAACCCTCTCAGAAATAAGGGGAGGCCTGTTTCCAGCAGTGGGACGTATATAGACTGTAACTTTTAACTTTAATTATGAAAACATTTGGAAACAGCATGGTAGTGATCACCTCATTCCCAGGGATTATTATCAATCATGTACTCTCTTGTACATAGTATAAAACAAAGCCGCTTCCTGCCTTCTGTACGCTTTAATCTTTTAAACTACGCAACGGATTTTGATAAAATTTTTGTATGTGTTTGAGTGGATCCCTGAATGGTTTGGATGAACAATTCAAACCATAAGACGAATTTGTGGAAAATCCCAAAGAAATCGTACGGCTTCCGGTAGACAACAGTGTAACCATTTTTTTATATAGATAAGAGTAACAAAATGGCACAAAGTCCACCTGTTAGTAAGTGAATGATGTGGCCCGTAGATGTCTACATTTAATTTTAAGCAGCTTGTTGCAGCTTGTGAGTAGTTGCGTTGTCACCACTGAGGATCAAGATGGAATGCCATGTAAAAAAGGGTCCAGTAAAACAGGGTCTCCAGTTTTCTACACTGTTTTCTTCACGCTGCTGTTTTACGCTAGTATTCTGTGCGAGCGTGTTCCGTTCATAACAGAGTTGCAGCATGGCTCTACGAAGTATTACTTGTTCCAGGTATAAATTCCCAGGTGTCTGACGGCAGCGTCACAGGAGCGAGAAGTCGTGACAACTAAGTCCTATAACGGTAGAGGTCTGTGTTCAGCTCGTGGTCTTTTAAAGGCGGACAAAAAAGAAGATCTATTTTTCTAATATTAGTTAATTTTTCGCGATATTAATAGTTTTAGAGCAGGTAAATGGCAGTACGTACAAAAGTTACAATAAACATTGCTATAAAGATTACTAATATTCCCCTTAACCACTCGTGGTAAGCTTAAATTGCTTGTGGTACGAGTGGTTCACGCCAGTAATCGAATGGCGGATTCGAACCCACGAGCTTTTTGAGTTCGCAGTCCGCGCCCTGCCATTAGGCTGCTGTCGCTTCAAAATGACCTGGTAGGTAGTGCTTTTGTCGAGATCAAAAACCACCCGTGCGAAGCCGCGGCGAATCACTATTTATTATTTAATAGTTTAACAACCCCTCTTAAACAATTTTTGCTTTAAAAATTTTAAACTTTTCGATAGATAGGTCATATTTATTTTCTAGGATTTTGTTCTAAAAACGTTAACTGAACCCCCTGAAGAATTTACTGGCCTTTTGGAGTCATATTAGTAATGTTTGTATATTTAAAAATAAACTGCACAAAAGATTTATTAAGCGTAGCAAAGTCGTAACATTTATATCGTAGCTTCGTAGCAAACGTCTACGCCAATACGAATAAGTTCCATCGTAACCTTATTTTTCGAGTCCACTGAATTATGCATAATAGTTTTGTCGGAGAGTGAATATAAAAATTAATTTGAAGGGTGGGAGTGTGTAAGAGACAACAAATATTTTAACCGGCTTTAAAAAAAGAGATGGTTCTCTGTTCGTCTGTATATACCTAATTTTTTATTGACTGCCTCGTTGCTAGATTATAATTGTAAACGCCGTTGCTGATCATTCGGTCCTGGGTTTAAATCCTGGGTCAGGGCAAAATCGGTTTATGGGCTTTCTGTCAATAAATTCTCAGTGGCAGCCCGGAGTCGAGAAATTGAAGGTGTTTCTTTCCCGTGCCTCGGAAAGCACGTAATTTCTCCAAAATATGTCGGATAACCGTCCCATCAGATTTTGAGGGCGATGGAATAGAGAGTGCATTTGTATTTGCTCATACAATCGGGCACTCTCGTAATCCGATGGGACGGTAAACCGACACGACCGGAGAGAGATCAGGCGCAGGACCAACGGCTTTACGTGCTTTCCGAGGCACGGGGCTGAGACACCGCCAACTTCCTGACTCCGGGCAACTACTGAGAATTTCTTGACGGAAAAACTCAATAATTAATTTTTTGGCCCGACCCGGGATTCGAACCCAGAACCTCATAATCAGCAGTCGCACTACTACAACCACTAGACCAACGAGGCAGTTACGAAAAAACATATACGTATATACGTATACGGGTATAACTTCATCGTTTATGAACTTGTTAATAAAAGTAAATGTTATAATTCGGGATTTCCCCGTGTAATGGCAGTGTAAGATTATCCAAGAACCCATATCGTCCCCCGAGTACGTAAGAGGCGACAGAGGGAAACAAACTAAGAGATGAATAGCAGCGTTTTCCTGATAATAACTCAAAATTATAAAAACAGCGGTTGCCAACATCCCTAACAAAGTGAAAGTAAAAATATGGAATAATAGGTGAAGAAGTTTTCAATTTTCATGTAACTATTCAGACGATATTCTAATTGTTACTTGAAATTGTGATATTCCTTAATCCAATCAAAAGTATTAAAAATAAACTTCAAAAAAAAATTAAAATCTGACTTCAAAAATAATTAAAAACTGACTTCAAAACCTAAAAAGAATAAGATAATTCCACTTAGGTAATAGCTTCTGAAATCGGTGCTAAGATAGAATGTGTC